GGCAGAAGTCCTATTCCTCAAGTCAGCACAATCTAGGGACATATCTTCTATTAACTAATGAAAACAAAACATGAGATCTATCAAATCTTTTTCTCACTTCTAAAATCAGGTTTTTCTTAGCTTTCCCTAACCAATGCCCATCACCTTTTTTTCTCTTTTCAAGGAAAAGCAACATCTATCCATAAACAATCAACATGAAGAAAATTGCAATTGTTCTTTGGTTATTCTTTCATAACATGAAGCTTCTCTACTAATGTGATGGATCATTCTTGGTAATCCAAATTTCAAATCTTTATATTGTAGTTCCACCAGGGGGGTCTAGAACTGGTGATTCGTAGAGGATTGCCTTTCAAATAAGAGTTCTCTTCAAAGGATTCAACTCTGACTTCTGGAATTGGAAAGGTGTTATTGATTGTGCCTCTAGACGAAAAGGTTGCAGAACTTGGAGACTAGAAGTTGTATTTCAGTGGGGGTGTTCAAGAGAAGAACCGCAAGAGATGAAGAAGAATTGGAAAGAAAAAGAAACGGTAGTGGAAAAAGAGGGAGCAACACCACCGGAATCAATATCAACAATAGAAATAAAGGAAAAAGAAGACGGAGAAAGCCTGGAGGAGCGCTTCAGTGGAGGAGACCTCCCTTTCCAGTAGAGAGCACAGTGGCAGAGCGCTTCGGTGGTGTAGAGGTTAACGGTAAAATGCAAGGTTTCGATTGTGAATATGAAACACAATATCAAAAGTAAACTATGGACTGAGCCCTTCCACAATAAATACCCATTGCTGATATTTGAGGGTGTAGACAGGGCCGGTCCATGATATAATATGGACTGGTCCCGCCCACACCCAACCAAACAGCATGTTCATCCCGTGGTATGAACCGAAATGGTCCATCCACAAGATGAACACACTAATTAGTAGGAGTGCTAAATGACCATATTGACAACTGGGTCATTGGCCCAACAAAGAGGATGAAAGTAATCAAACCAAAAATATGAAAGATTGACATCACGTCTATTGCAACCATGTCACAACACCAGCTATCTTAGTATTAATTATAGGTAGGTACCTATTGGGGGTAATGACACTTAAAAGGGGACTGTTTTTTGCACCGCAACATATCAATTTTAACAAAGTTGGACTCATGTGTATAATTCTTTCAGGGTACTAAAAAGGTGCATTTGAAAGTTTGTTTTCTTAAGTGTATTCCCCCAAAGTACAGGTACCTATCTATAATTTACCCTAATTTTAAACAAAAGAATATTTGTATTTCATTGGAGGGCAAAGGGGACTTAGCATATCAATTTAACAAAGTTGGACTCAAGTGTATATTTCTAAAAGTTTAAGGTACTTAAAAGTAGCACTTAAAAGTCCATGTCCTTTAAGTGTACTATCCCAAAGTATAAGGTACCTATCTATAATTTACCCTAATTTTAAACAAAAGAATATTTGTATTTGATTAGAGGAGGATGGGAGGGGGCTTACAAGAAATAGAGAACATTTCTTGTGATCATGTTGCATGCAAGCCCCAATAAAAAGCAAACACACGGGTGCTTGAAATAAAATTTTATTGATGTGATGCCTTGAATTTAGTGCAAGTGCTGGTGTCTTCTAAGGGTGTTCATGAAAAACGGAAAAGCCAAACTAAAAAATGCCGATAACTAAACCAATCAGTTTGGATTCGGTTTGGTCCAATTCCAAAATAATCAGTTTTTAGTTTGGTTTCGATTAACCTACAAGAAAAACTGGCAATTAACCAAATCAACCAATCTATATAAGATTATTAATATATAAAAAAAAAACTATGATGTAAGAAAGACATGATACCGGAAAGAATTGACCAATCAAATCCCTATAAATTTTGATGAAAATCCACCTGATTGGTAACCATTTTTATGATGCTGGTTGATTGGTCATAAGTTTTTTTGGTATCACGTTTTTTTGGCATAACCATTAATATATACTTTTTTATTAATCATATATTATAATATATATATATATATATAGTATATATAGATATCTATAAACAGGAGCATTTTTTTTGTTTTTGGAAAAAATCATGTAATACAAAATGTAAGAAAGCAACTTTCATTAAAAAATTAAATCTTTCATAATTCCTAAATGGCGCATGAAACCTTTATCTTTGAAAAGTATAGAAAAAAATTATAAGGATTAAAGAGAAAAATTAGGCAAAATGTTTCTAAGATCATCTAGTTTTTTTTTTTTTTTAATAAAGAAAACATAACAGAATTTGAAAAGGTGGGTTCTATGCCTTGCTCCGCTAAGCTCATCTTGTCCACATAAGATCCCAGTACATAGAAACATTCTTTAGTTCATTTTGTACAATACAGGCATCACAATCATGACCGGTAGATTTGAGAAAGAGAGAGAGAGAGAAAATTTTTGTCTGATACATGCAACATAATTATGCATAACCGTTCCACTTCCACCGATGCATGACTGGTAGATTTCAGATTTAATTTGTTAGGTAAGCTAGCTTCTTGGACGAAATTTTTCTGGAAATAGATTCAGACTAAGCACGGCTCTATTGTAATTAAAAGACAAATAAGTGCAGTAGATTGGTGGACATCTAATAAGAGCCTTAAATCCTTTGAATCTTCTCTTGTATCTCCATAAATGCATGTATCTTTCATTAGGGGAAATATCTATTCATATGAACTCAATTTCCCCCCCCCCCCCCGTGGGAAATTGTGGGGCGGCGATGTGAACTTGAATAAGAACATACAGGTAATAAGAAGTTATCAATGCACAGTTGCAAAAAGCTGTGAGAACAGTTTTGTAAGGATTAAATGCAAATTCAGACTAAACCGAATCAGTGGATTAATGACAGGATGTATATGAAGCCTAATACATGGATGAGATGTATTGTGGTGGGGCATGTATAGGGAGCCAATGTGCTCTTACCTTTCCGTGGTTTGAATCCATGACTTCTCAATACGAGGGTTGCGTTACGACAAACTCAATATCGAATGGATTGTCTCTTTGACATCCACTTGGTTGAATCATCTTCTAATGCAGACATTCTTGGATGGAAGAAGCCAAGTTTTTGGTTGGGTTGATTACTCAAAACAATAATGCAATTATTTTTCATTTGAATAATTGTTAAGTTAATTAGGTTAACTGTGAATTTCTATCTGCTGAGACCATATTTAAACTACTTTCTTCACAACCGCCCAATAAAACCCGAATATGCTAGCTTGGGGTGTTCTCCCATGTGAAATGTTTTCCTGGTGGAGAGTTTCAAAACCAAATCAAACCCATCTGGCTTAAAAACAAATTGATTCATAAAACAAAAACTTTTTTTCATATTTGGTAGTATGCATCACATTAATAGCCTCCCTCTCCAAAGTCACTGGTTGCGGGAATCGAATCTGTCCCTATGTTGAAGCAAACCACTCAGTTGGCCGAATTTCTGTTTTAAAGAACTTATTTTGGTCTGGCTAATTGTTTTGATAAAAATTGTATTTTGTAAATCATACGGTATCTATGCAAAAAAATTGTTTTCGTTTTAAAAACTATCATCTTCAATTCTTGATGATTTAAAAAACATGAATTGTTTTTTTTTTATTTTAGTATAAAACAAAGTTATTTCACTTTTCAAAACAAAAACACAATTCAAGAACATGATTTTGTTCTTTTTTTTTTATAAAGTGGCAATTTTAAAAGTAAATGAAGACAAAACCATTTGCTTTGTAAATTGTAGAACACCACGTCAGCATTTTGAATTTAAAACAAATGGGAATTGTTTATATGTTTTGTTGGCGGTCCAAAGAAGAAAAATGTCGAAACCATGGTTGCAGAGTTGAGCTCATTTAGAGTATTTACTCTTACCAATCAACTTGATTTTTTTTTAAAGAGATACAGCCGAGGTTTCCATTGTCGTCTCTGATTCCAACTAGACCTGTTCATGGGCCGGTTCGGGCCGGGCTTTCACTTGTCATTAATGAAAATATACTAGGCTCGAGCCCGAGCCCGGCCCGACCAACGGGCCTATAACTTGGGCCCGAGCCCGAGCCCAAAGCCCGACCAAATTGAAAAAAAAAAACAATTTTCCCTATTCAAATTAGAATTAAATTTTCAGATAAGTATTTTTTTTTCTATTTAAATGAACAATGGGCCTACAAGATGGTATTTTTCCCTTTCTTTTATATTTTAAAACACAATTTTACATTCTTAAATCAAAAAAAATTATTCAAATGGACATAATCACATAAATAATTTTAAGTTTAATATTAGGTTGGGTCGGGCCGAGCTCGGGCCGGGCTATTTTGACAAAACCCGAGCCCGACTCGAATTTATTGCGGGCCGAGTTTTTTTACCCGAATTTAAGCCCGCGGGCCTATAAAAATGTCCAAACCCGTTCAGGGGTCCGGCTGGGCCGGGCCAACCCGTCGGGCCACCCGGCCCATGAACAGGTCTAATTCCAACCAAGGTGTTTATTGGATCAAAATGTCTTAGTAGGATATCTAGGTACGGGAGCCTGATATTTAATGCAAGAAAGTAATATATCATATTACTTAATGGCATTAGCTTGCATGATTTAACTCTTTGAAATCAATGTTGACCTTTTAGTCATTTTTTTTATATTTTATTCATAATATTATAATAATAATAATTTTCATTAGACTTTGCTTCAACTTCCATCAAAGTTTATCTTCAACAGATATTTGATTTGACTATTTATAATACAAAATAATAAGTCTCATTGCATTTTGTCCAGGCTATTTGGGAGCTCTATCCAATTCATCTACGTCATTAGTCAAGAATCAAAGAATGAGTAAACACATCCTTCTAGCAGATATTGTATAGACCAATCCCATTTCTCATTATTTTTTTTTTGGAAAAGGTCCATCTGATGCATAGTGCAATAAAAGATATGATTGGTCCACAGTTGGTTTTTTTTTTTTTCATTTCCTTTTGACCCTTTAATTTGCTTGATTTCCATTGGTGCAGTACATAGATAGAATGTATTTAAAAACAATTCAATTAACCAATTATTATCACCATCACATTTTTATTAGTAGTAAAATTGAAAGAAAGATACAAAAATGTACAGATTAAACACTCAATTGGGCTGAAACAAGAAGTGCAAAATAGTATCAAATATCAACAAACAGGACCCCTACCCAAAGCTTTCCGCTTTCTCCTTGTTGTAGTTTATGCAATAAGAAAGGGCAAAACGGTCAACAAGAAATTATCATACGTGAATGTTGCTGTACCATTGTATGATTTATCCATCTCTTTGAACTTCTCCGTGAGCCCCTGCACCAATCCAATCACAAACAATAATATTAATTAATGGAGGGAATTAAAAAAAATAAATTAATTAACAAAGACATTTGCAAGTATTTATTTATTTATTTTTGATAAAAACAAAAGGAGAAGCAGGTATTATTACCTTAACTGTAAGGCAGCACCTGCATTTAATTTAAGAAAAAAAAAACAAATTTATTAAATATATCATAAATTAAGGCTCTTTGTTTATAGTGCAAATTCATTTGCAGCGGTGTAAATGTATGAAAGTGCAAAATAGGCAGTGTAAATTGTAGTGTACTTTTGCTTCAGTTTAGTGGCAATGGCAATAGGGTTAAGAGATGAAACGTACTCGATGAAATGGTCGTATTCGATGGCTTTATTTTTACCGCCGCTCTTGTCGAACTTGGAGACGAGCAAATCCAATACGGTCGGAGAAACCGCGAATCCAAGGCTCAGGAGCGCCTCTCGCAGCTCCGACGCGTCGATCTTCCCGCTCCGATCTCTATCAAACCTCTCAAAGTTTGACTGCCAAATATACCCCGAATATGAATATAAATTTCCATTAAAAGCGAAAACAAAAATCTAGAAAAGACGTACCCTCCAGTTCTGGAGACTGTAGAACACCGATATGAACTCCTTCGGTCCTGTTGTTTTATTCCGTAATTAAAATGAAACAGAAGGCCATCTTAGTAATTCAGTACAGAAAATGCATTAATGAAAATAACTAATATAAGTAGCAAAAGAATCAGTAGAATCTTAGAAGAAGAAAAATAAAATTGGCGAGGGCATTTCAGGAATTTGAAAAACAGGTAAGTGAGACTGAGAGAAACGCGGAATGAACTGCTCGGAAAAACCAGTCATCAGTAACGGAAAACGAGTCTTTCGTTGAAAATCGAAAGGAAATATCCACCTGGAGAAGATTTTGCTATCGTGCGCATCTTGGTGGCCAAAAACTAGTGCTAAAGTGCGCAATTTCGATCTGAAAGCGAAGAGAATTGTTCAGAGAGGGCTTACCGATCTTTCGGGTGTTGGAGTTGGTGAAGAGATACATGAAGAGACGGACGGTTCGGATGCTGAAGCTCTGGTGGTAAGACGATAGAGCGCCCTGCAGCTCCCTATCGTCTATGAACCCACTTCCGTCCTGATCGGCCGCCTGAAAGCAAGCGACAATGTTGGGATCAGTTCCCGGAGGGAACGCCGACGGCACCAGAGAGACAAACGGGCTTCCATACGGTTGGTAGCCGGAAAGCGATGGGGCGGAAGCCGGTGGATAGCCAGAGGTTGGTGGTGCCGAAGACAGTTGATAGGCGGAGTAAGGAGGGGGAGCATCACTCGAGCTGCTTCCACTTCCATGGGGCTTGTGCTTGTGCTTGTCCTTGGAGGGCTTGTCCCCTGGCGTGTGGCCGGGAGCGTAGGGCGCAGAAGGCGCAGCGTAGGGTTGCGCCGGTGGTGCTCCGTAGGGAGTGGCCGTTTCATACGGCTGGGCCGGTGGCGCACCGTAGCCGTACCCTGGAACTGGATACCCCGGCGGATAACCTGTCATTGATTCTCTAGTTTTGTACTTCTGCTTTTGAGATCCGAGAGAGGTCAAGGTCATCTACCCCTTTTAATAACAACCCAACTGCTTCTGCTCACGATTCAATGAGGGTCCCCCACATGGTGAGGACTGAGGATATCTTAACCGCTGGATTAGTACCTCACGATTCGAAAATAATGTCAATGATCCCATGTTCTGATTTTCTAATTATGGAAGCAGCTGGCTGCCGAAGTATATAGTTTTTGACCGATGACCCGACCGGGCTGGACCATCCAGATAAGAATAACCATTGGAGTTGAATTAAAATATAGGTAAATTTTCTAAACTATCTTATGGTTTGGTTAATTGATTTAGACTTATTGTTTGATTATTGTCTAATGCTATCGAAAATATTAACAGTAGGGCTGAAATGCCCATTTAGCCCTTAGGTTAGGGGGCATTGTTCATCTTCTTCGGTCTTCGACACACAGTAGCGGCAGTCTCCTCCACCTCCGATCCTCTCATCGTTTTTCCACATCTCCCTCCCATGTTCTCCCATTTTCTCCAATGAAATAAACAAAGAGGGACAAAGAGTTACTATTCATCGTCTCGCACCTTGAGGCGAAAAACAGAATAGCGACGGCAAGAAATCTGTCCTCCTTGTTTCTTCCTACTCCCCACACATCATTCGCCATTCCTTCTATTCATCTTTTTCCACCCCCTAATCACCGGTCCTTTATTCATAATTCCTACCGGAGGAGAGAGAAAAAACAGTGGTACGTCGTGTTAGCTCCAACGGACATTCCGCTCATCAGCTCCATGAACTCAAGCTTGAAAATTCGTTTTTCTTCAATAGATCCCTTCGGACTGCTTCTGAGTTATTTCTTAAGTGGTCAGCTACCGAAACAGGCTGAGACTCCCTTGTTTCGCCTATTGAGTGCAGATTGAAATCTAGTATAGTCGAGTCTCTACATCTCCTCGTCCATCGAACCAAACCGGCACTCAGACAGGCAATCTGAAAGGTGAAACTAACGACCTAGACGTATTCCCCTTTGTTGTTCTTTAGGACAAAAATAAGATCAGGTAAGCCTGATTATTACCGCATCTTGCTCTGTTATTTTCCGTATTCTCTGCTTTGTTTTTCTCAGTCATTTTGCTCTAGACTGGTATCTGAATAACCATCCGAACCTAACATGCGGCTTCTGAGTTATTCTCTATGAGATCCTTGAAGCCAACTCAGATTAGCCGTTCATGGTGTCGTCGAACGCTGCTGTCGCAAAATGGAGTGCTGGAGTTACCCTCCGAACGGGAAAAGAAGATTTCCGCCGACGCCGTTCAAGCTCCTCTCCGCCAAGTGCTCACTATGGCTGCTGTTGCAAAGATGAGCCCGAGCTACATCGTCGAACGCCGCCGCAACCCTTTTCTCCACCGCAATCCTTTTCTACTCCTCTCCGTCGAACTTTGCGCCCGATCTAGTCGATGTCTCCGAATTGGGCCACCCTGTTTTGGCGATTACCAACTAAACATTCGGGAACCCAAGCTTGGTCATGGCGAACATTCGAAAACCCAAGCTTGGTCATGGCGAACCTCTTTTTCTCTTTAACCCAAGCTTGGTATGTTTCAGCCATGTCACGGCTGCTGGCTAAGGAGTTATGTTTTAGACATGTTTCTTGGTTAAAGAAACTAGGGCAACGTAATGCCCAGATATTTCCGACTCACTTTTCCTACCTTCTCTAGGAAAAGTGAGTAAGGAATCCCGAGTGCTCCAAAAAGTTACGCTTCAGACATGTTTCTTACTACCCAACACGTTGTTTCTGACAATAGCTAGCTTTGTAACTGCTTTATAAATTGTATTTACCTATCACATAAAAATCTAGATACACCTCCACTATTTTGCTCAACCTACTATAATGATTTAAGTGGCGTCTTCCTCAATTTCTTTGTTATTGTTACGAATTATTAAACCAGGGTGTTTTAAATGATCACATTGAATTGTCTCTGTCTCCAAATATAAATATATCCATTATGAATGTTAAATGATTGGTTTTTTTTTTTTTTTAATAAAAGATCGACTTAATTTATAATTGAACTAGAATATGGATGTGTTGTGTCTACATTGATATGATAGGAAAAAAAGACAAAGTCCAACTCGAGCTAACACTTAGGACCTGTTTGACAATGTTTCGTGAGAGTGTTTCTGCTATTTCCGACGTTCTTGTGGAACAGAATCATGTTTGATAAAAATAAAACGAAAGAAATGAGCTACCTGCAAATCTCCTCTAATCTGTCCACCAACTTCCTCTCTAAACCAACATGTACAAATAGCAAAAGCAAACGCATTACCAACGGGACAAGACATGAGCGATTTCTATGACAGTGATTAAGGAAGTTCAAGTGGTGCCGTGTTTTACTGGTGAATGGGGAGATATTACATTGAAGGATGGGATCAAGGTAGACCTAAAAAGTGTACCCAAGTTTAGGGAAATCGTCAATTATCGCCTTTCCATGGCTGATTAATCCGTGGTTTTGGAGGTAAAGGAAGCTCAGCTGAAAGGTTTCTGATGGCCTTCTTTGTTTAATTTGTTTTGCAAATTCAACCAAAAGTCTTTTAAATGAGGTATGTAATAGTTTTTCTTTTTGGAAAATTTAATAGAAATTCTTTAGATGTTAATTACAAGGAAATTTGTTTGCAATATTGATTTATAAGACTTCTATTGCTTGGTAGTTGGGAGAGTCATGCAATAGTTTTATGTGAGTTCATTAAAAATCTGCCATTAATTATATATTGATAGTTGAGAATGGAAATGGTAGAATATAAAAAAACACACACACAGAGCAAAATAGACCCACAAGAAACACTTGACAAAGACTACAGGCTAAGGACTAAGCAGTAAGCACACTGCAACTAAAGACTAACCAAGCACGACCCCTAAACACCTAAACAAGACCAGAAACACCACTGTTGACTTTCCAGTTTCCTGAATATGCGCTAGATATTCTAGTGTTTACAACTTATTTCTATTGTTAATTCTACTATTTTCTTACACAAATATGCTACTGTTTCCAAATTCCATAAAAGCAACATCAATCATTCATCAAAACTAATTACATTTGTTAGGAGTGACCGAATTATTTCCAATTTATTTATTTTATATTTGTAGTTATGTTATTCACTTCTACTCTACCTTAAAATGGAATGATGAAAAATTTACAATTCAAAACACAGGCAAAAAATAATTGCTATCCAAACACTATTTTTGTTTCTATAGAACAAAAGCCCATTCTTAAGGAACAAATTGCCAAACGCCTCTATAATTCTTGAATAATAAGAAAAATAATTCGTATTTCAGAACAAAGCAAGAGAATAGAGTGAATAATCTCAGCAAATCGCATCAAAGGTTCTACTCCTTATTTGGTTTGACTTATCTGCGGTTAGATATTAATAGATAATGGATTGTGAAATAACTGTTAAATGCATAAATAATGGATTGTGATCGATCAACCCCAAAGTTGCCAAAGCAGGCATGAGACAGCATCACCGTCTGCCTTTTGGATGGTGATGCGGTGCAGCAGAAACATCCTATACTTGTATGTTTTCACAAAATTGGTTCTCACACCACCCTTACAAGTTACAAGCGGTGCAGCAGAAACATCCTATACTTGTATGTTTTCACTTGACGACAGTGTAATGACCAATTTTGGGAAGACAAAATTCGAATGATCCAGAAACATCTATTCTTCTTGTGGTCAGGGTAGAAATACAGTCAAGGACTAGCGTTTGAAAATTGATGCGGGTTTAACTTGTTCCCACAGTTTTCAAAACCGAACTGGATTGGACAGTTGGATCAGAAAAACCGGGAATCGATCACTTAACTGATTTCATTTTTCTTTAAAACCGCTTTTTTTTTTTAAATCGTTGATTTTTTATCAGCAAACCATTGAACCCGCCGGTTAACCATTCGAACTGATAACCGAACCCCTAATCGGTTTGGTCACCAATTTGTTTTTAAAAACCATGCTTATTCCTGCATTACAGTTCTAGTTTGCATGAGCTTCCATGACAAAACCAAAATTTGTCATTTGGTATGGCTACTTTAGAGATTCCTCTTGGCACCAAATAGATACATGGGACAAGGAGACACAAGAAATTGATGAGATGAGGAAATAATAAAAATGGGGCCACTGCTACTGAAATTTATCTTCTCATTGTCTGTGACCATTATTGAAAGAGAGAATATTACTTTTAAGCTATGTTTGGTTTGAAGGTAAAAATAGGAAAAGGAATGAAAAGTTAGGAAAGCCTTAAAAAATCTTATATAGATTTTCATACCTTTCCTTTTTTTTTTCCTACTTTTTCTTTCAAATCAAACATTAAATAGAGTATATGGATACCAAAGAAAATAAAATAAATGATGAGTATTTTAAGTTAAAAAAGTAAAGAAAACTTTGGGAGTAGGGTTTATTAGCTTTGTTAACCTCCAATCCCAACTCTAACCAACCCAATGACATCTTATTAGACTTTTGATTGACCCGTGATTTAGGGTTTATTAGCTTTAGCATTCATATGTACCAACAAATTAAGTTATAATGCATGGTAGTGCAATTTTATTTGCATTTACACAAATGTATAAGAGTGCAAATGAATGCAAATGAAAAGAATATAAATTATAGTTTAATATTGTTTTCGGTTTTACTTCATTCTACTTTACCTATTATTTTACTTTATTTATACTACAATTAAACAAAATAAGATAATTTTAAAACAAAATGAAATAAATTTGCACCTAAATCATTTGTACTACTATAATTTTATATCAATGCAAATAAATTTGCACTATAACCAAACACATTTGGAAAAAAAAAATTCCAAATTTAATAGTTAAAAATATTCAATGCATACGTACATAAATAAATGTCATACATGTATACATAATAAATATAAAGATAAAATATAAAAACCTCATCTCAAGTTTCTGACAATCATGTAAACCTTCCCATTTTCTTTCTATTTCTGAAAAATTCAACAAATACCTCCCATATTTTTTTAAAATACCTATTTTACCCTTTTACGAATTAATATACATTTATTTTTATTAAAATAACCCTATCATATTCAGCGGCTGAATGGCGATGCACTCCCCCCTTCTAGACACATCACATCTTCCGGTACCCATCGAATTCACATA